ATTTGGAAAACTGAAAAAATGGTTGAGGATGCAGCTCAATGTGAAGGCCCTAGGTTCAATTCCCAGTACTGAAATAAAAAAGTACTTTGTGCCCTATAGTGGGAGAGGCCTTAAATTTGTCTTTCACTCACTTCATTTCTCCTTTCTAAGATTTGTGTTTTTTTATTGTTTGATTAAATTCCTTCCTTCTTTCCTTGTCTGCGGTGTTAGGATCAAACCCAGGGCCTCATCCAAACCAACCACATGCTCTACCACTGAGCTACATGCCCCTGATCCCAGTTAGATTATTTTTAATTTCATTTCCCCACTAAGATTTCTACAATTCTATTATCACAGTATCCTCCAAGGGCTGGCTGTATGTATTGGAAAGGAAGATGCATGAATTGTGGAATTTGGGAAAGCTGTTCGGTTCCAGTTCTGTCCTTCACACCCCAAATTCCACCACTGGATATTTATTTCTTTGTTGTGGGATATTACTTCTCAGATATAACATCATTTAAAGTCCAGTATTTTTGGAAAGACAAACCATAAACTGGTATGTGAGGCAGTGCAGTGCCATGATTAGCAGTAGGCTTGAAGGCAGACTGCCTGTGTTCTCACCCTGGCTCTGCTACACACTTGCTACTGTATATGACCTCGGGCAATTAATTCACCTTTTTGTGCTTCAGTCTCTCATCTGTAAAGTGTGAGTGATAATAATACTCTCTTCAGGAGTTTTCGTTAGGTCTCCATGAAATAGGTGCAGTTTTTTAGGTAAATAGTATCCTTCTACACAAGTGTTAACAATTATAGGGCCCGGGATTTAGCTCAGTGGTTTCAACGCCTGCTATGCAAGCGCAAGGACCCGAGTTCGATCCCCGGTACCAAAAAAAAAACCAAAACAATTACTGTATTCTGTTGCAAAAATAAGCATATTATGTAGATATCCTTTTGACAGGTAGCTGGTATCAAGTCATAAAGAAATTAGAGTTTTCACAAAAGGCATTGTTGCTCAATGGCTTGGGTGAGGAAAATGTTACAGTTGGTAGCATAAAGTTAGTGATATGTGGAAGGAGAGGGAAGCATTTATGAAAAAGAGGAAGATGAACTTGTTTCTAGTACTAACCACTATGTTCAGGAACTGACAAAGTTAAATCAGCTAAGATGGTGAACAAGTAATGTGATGTACACTTGAAAATGAACTTTGACTTAAGTACTTGGTTAGATTTTTCTATGTCTCATAATTTCTTGCCTTGCCATAGATCAGTGAATGCGAACCTTTTAGTGCTTTCAATGATAGAAACAGCCTGCTGCGGCACACATGCCACAGGTTTGCCACCACTGCTGTTGATAATGCTAAGTCTCTGAACTATCACACTTGAAGAACCATGGAAAAAATATAAAACAGAGACTTTCACTTTGCTAATTGCCCCTTCCTCTTTCCTGTAGATTACATGAAGCAGACGACATTTGAAGCCCAAGCGTTTTTAGAAGCTGTGCAGTTCTTCCGACAGGAGAAGGGTCATTATGGCTCCTGGGAAATGATCACTGGGGATGAAATCCAGGTAACGTGGGGCTCAGAAGTTTGAATCCTATCTCCTTTTGGGTAGTAGGAGCTCAGGGTCATCATAATAAATGATCGAGAAAAGTTGCAAGAATGAAAGATATGGTTCCAAAGACCATCTCTCTTACTGTCTAGAAGTATTTGGTCAGCAAGCTATTTGGACACCAGGTACAATGACCACTAGACCAGGCATTACCTAAAGTAACCTGAACACAGCAACAACAGGAGGAGGAACTGCTCCCCTTCCCTCCCACCCCGCCTGTTAGAGGCTTCTCCTTCTTTCAAGGGACCTTGTGCTTCCAGATTGAAAGCAAATATAAGTAGTGTGGTATAGTGCCATGTGTGAAGGGGCTTCAGGGTTATCAGACCTCCATTTAAATCTTGCAAATTATTTAACCTCTTTTAGTCTCAAATTACTCCCCTGGCAAAAGTAGGAATAATAAAGTTTACTATGCAGAGTTGTGAGAATTAAATGAAACGTTATTGAAGCAGCATTTGCAATACCACTATCTATTGAATAACATATAAGTGAACTCATAAATAGAAACAAATTTAAAAATCATTAGCCACTTTTCTATATGATTCACGTAGTGTTCCTTGCTTTCTGTCCTCTGTGATCCACTATAATGTCTCGTGATGCTGATGAAATACAGATCATGCCCTGAGTAACTTGGTGGGCTAGGTTGCAAACCCTAAAGGCAACTATTCCTTGCTGTTACCCCAGCCTCTGTGCTGATACCAGTTGCATGGCTGATTCAGCCAAGAGCAGGCTGAGTATGGGCATTATTTTATCATGGGATCATACAGTTCTTCATTTGTCGCATCTTCTAGAGTGCTTCTTTGGGGCCTGCTGGTATTTTTTTTTATTAGGGAACATATTTGAAAGATGCCAGATGGTTTTTGGCCTCTATGTGGTCATTAAACAATTAAAGCCAAACATTGTCTCATGATGATGGAGCTGTTCTTTATCGTTTTGCCACATGAACCAGAATCTTCTCCCTTTTGGATATATTTGAAGTGAATTTATTTCCCAACTTGAGACTTATTCCAGAACTTTAACCAATTCTCAGTAACTAGTATTTTGGGAAGCATAGCCATTTGTAAATCTGAGAAGATTAAAGAGTACAGTACTTATACCAAAAAGAATAAAACAAAACATAAGAAGGGGAGGCTGAAGCATTTAATACCGATTAGCTTGTTTTATAAGCCAATATATTTAATAGTGAATAGATATTTAAGATACGGACCAATATTAAAATGATATTTTATATGTAGAGCAAATTCTGTCTTCACAACTGTATAAGGTGGAAAGGGTAGTTATTATTTCTGTTTTGTAAATGAGAAACCGAGGGAGACAGAAGAGCTAAGTTGCCCAGCTTTTTTCATTCTGTAACTTTTGTTGTTTTTTTTGGTACCGGGGATTGAACTCAGGACCTTGTGCTTGCGAGGCAGGTGCGGTGCCACTGAGCTAAATCCCCAGCCCCATTCTGTAACTATTTATTGAGCATTCACTATGTTCCAGGACCTATGCTGGGTGATAGCGATCGAGAGGTGGACAAGTTAGGTTCCTGCCCTATGGAGCTGATAATTTCAGGGTCACATGTTAAGTGGACAAATGACAAAGGAAGTGTTAGGCTTCTGCCTCCCGCTTCAGTGAAAGATCAACACCCATGGGGCCATATTGAGTTACACATTTAGTTATCTCCATGAGTTCAGCTAAGGCACTTGGTTATTAATTTTTTTTCTTTCACATGAAATCTTATGTCAGCTGACATTTGTTCATAATGCCATTGAAAATAAGTACTTAATAGATGCTTTCTAGGGGGTTAAATATTGATGTGTGTGTTTTCTTTTGTTTCAACTGTTTTTCCTTTTGGTTGCTACAAGCTAAGTACTATCAGGTACAAGAGAGCTAAATGACTCATTTCTTGCTGTTGTGTTGAAGCCAGGCATACACACAAAGCATCAAGAAGACAAGGCAACCATATGTGCATGGATGTATATGTGTATATATAGGGTCTGTATGCATTAGACTATCATCAGGCTTTAGTGCAAAGCAATCATACTATGGTGTTAATTTTTGCAGTAAAAAATACTGTGAGAAAACAAAAGAGAACAACAACAAAGACATAGAAGAGATCTATCAATGCAAGAGTCATCAAGTGATGAGTAAGACATTTTGCTCCTCAGGAATCTGAGTATCTTTGGTGAAATCACAGACTCATGAAGTGAGCTCTAGGGGGACATTTCAGGATTACTTATGTAGCACTTTCTAAGAAAGAAAAAGAACATTTTGAGGTCATGTGGGAAAGCCCTCTGCAAGATACAAAGTATCTACAGCTATTTGGTATGTTTATTATTTGCCTTTAAATTGGGCAGATGGTTGAGACAAGAGCTCATAATTCCCACAGAATTTAGTGGTTTCAAGACAAGAAGAGTATCCACATTGTAAGTCTTGACCATTCCTACCAGAACTGCCTTCTGTTGAACCATCTTGAGTTGCGACCCTCTTTAAATAGACTCTTTCACCAACAGTCCTTCAGTTAACACCCTGAGGTACCTAGGGCTAACAGCCTGCTCAGACCTGGGGCCTGCCTCAGGAAGCGGGCAGTCTCTCTGGACCTCCCACCTTCCGTACAGCTCCAGCACCTGAGAGGAAGCACTGTGGTGTGGCCTTCAATGAGTGAACGCTTTGGTTTGTTGGCTTTGACCAATCTAACGGGAAGTTTGATTTCTTATATGTGGGATGAAAATTTTAAATTTCCACAGGCCCAGCAATTAAATTTGTCCAACACCCTCCCTCCTTTATTAAAAAAAAGCGAAATTATACTTTTGGTTTCTTGTGGTAAAACTCACTGAGTCCCATTAGGTGGGGAAGAAGATAGAGAATCCCTTCATTATTATGACTTATTTACTGGATTAACTGCTGTCCCTAGAAAAGCCCAAGGGCTTGGGACCCCACTATTGGAGAACTGGCCAGGGTGGGGAAATCCTGAATAGGCCCTGGGCAGGTGAGGGGCAGCATGAGGTCAGGGTAGGGAAAGACTCTAAGGTTTCAGGAAGAGAAGGATGGTGCTGGGATGAAGCGCAGATGGACTTTAGCACCCACAGGCTCTGCCCTGCGGCTGTTTGTAAGCCCTGCCCCACCCACCACCCTTCCAGCACATTCCTACTGGAGCTTCTTTCCCGGACATATTTTCTTGCAACTCCCTAAATTGTAAAATAGAACCAAATTTCTTGGAGCATTGCATGGGAAAGACTAAAAGAAAACCGTAATAAGCCCACCCAAATGGAACTTTCTTTTTCTTTGGCCTTTGTACATAACATTTGTATCTTTTTAAATCTGTTCACATTCATGCTGTAATTCAAAACAATCTCTGCAAAAGGATGAATTGGGACAATTATTATGATTCTTGAGTTTAATACTTTTCAACCAAGATAGTATTGCCCACTGATTGTAAGCTCTGGCTTTAGTCTCTATGCCTCTTAACTCCTTCTCTTCATGCTGCATGTGGGCCAATCTTGGGCATTAGTGTTCCAAACAAGAGTTTACCCCCACTGACTAGGATGGGGCCCATGGATAGCTAATTGGTTACTGAATCTAATTATTGGACCTGCAGATTTCCATGGAGTTTGCATGTGTTGTTTCTCCTAAATACATCAGCAATGGCTGAGAAAGGTAAACACATCTCCATCAATGATTATCAGGGCCAGTAGACATACTGTTCCCATCATAATCTTCATCACATTAGGCAGACTCACAATGCAGATAACAGGAGTCCCACTTGCTGCACCAAGCTGAGCAACTATCTCTTAGCAAGCCAGAGACACAGTGGGACTGGACAGCTTGTTCACCTCCACCCTGGAAGTGTGCCTGCTCAGATGAGCTAATACAGTTCACCCTGCCACAAGAGCACTGGTTAAAGCAAAATCTAGTGAGCTCAAGAGTGTTCCCACTACCATGAGGCTGGCCAGTAAGCTCAGGAAAAGTCTTCCTTAATTCCCACAGTATAATTTGATTTTTTATGAGAAGTGAGAAAGGAGTCAATTATTCTAAATAAATATTATTTCAATTTCATAAAAAGTTGTCTCAAGTGATTCTCTACTTTCCTGCCTGTTTCTAGTCCCAACACTGCTCTTGCCCTTTTGTAAATCTTAATCCACAGCCTTCTGCCAAAACCTGAGCTATCTAAGTCAGGGGGCAGCAGTGAAGAAGGAAAGGCCGGTATTAATGGAGCATCGTAATGAATGGACTTGTAGAGCACTGCTCAGATTTAAAAGAAAAGTCATTGACCTAGGCAAAATTTTAGAAGATATTTGGGAAGACATTTTTAAAAAAACACCCTGCAGAGTTTAGACAGACCCCAATATTCTGTTTAACTCACAAATGTCCAATTGTTCCAAAGTATTTCTTTCTTTCTTTTTCCTTCTTTTTTTAAAAAAAAGCTGTATCTAGATTTATTAAAGACAGTCTTCATAAACAATCATAATATTTCTGGCAGAACATGGATTGACAACAGTATCCAATAACTTTTAAACTCCCTTCTTCAGTAGTCTCCAAAAATCACTGCGAAACCTAGTGAAGTCTTCATTTGATGCCATGAACAGGGAGCATTTAGAGAGAGGGAAGGCTAACATTTCACCTTGAACATGTTGTTTAACAACATTTCAGAGCCAACCCTGGCTTTCGGAGATAAAAGCGGCAGAATTATCCATCTGAAGACCCACTGTCTAGAAAAGGAGCCACTGCTCTTTTGAGAAATGTCATCTTAATGATAGCACTGGGAAGTCCAGATTGCCTGACATATTGGTAACCAGTTTTGGGGGGACAAGATCCAACAGGTCTCTGGGCCTAAGGAAGTTAACTATGCTGAAGGCACAGAGGGAGAAGAGAATGAAAACTCATTTTAGTTTTTCCACACCACAGGGTGTTTGTGCCAAGGTGACTGTGTGAGTCATCAACAGGGAATCCCTGCCACTAGGAGCTGAGAAAAGATACTTTCCTTTTCGAGGAAAAGGTGTTTTCTCCCATAGTCATTGAGCTTTGAAGATGTGTATTCGTGAAATATGCCCCTCTACCCCAAAACAATGGTGAAATACTTCATGTGCTAACAACATAGCTTTTAAAAAAGTAAAACAAAATTCTGTATTTTATAAGACTTGATAAAAATTAGCATTTCAGTCACCAGGAGTACACAACCATTAAAATTGCACACACTTCACTTGGGCCCTTCAGCACTTCAGCTTTCTGTGTCTGGTCCATTTTGGCATCTCCATTTTCTGTCAGTTGCTCCTACTTTTGCTGGCATTAGCTATTCCTTTTTGTTCTTTGGGCACCTTCTCTCTCTTCTCAGCCAGGTCTTTTTTAGGCTTGGGCTGTGGCTTTGGAGAAGCAGATTTAACTGAAAACCTTGGAGATCTCTAAGGCTCATCTTTCAGCTTGATTTTATCTCCTTTAGCATCTCCTTCAGACTTTCTCTCGGTCATAGTGGTGACAATGTGGAATGTTAATGCTGGACAGGAGGAGGGTGTTTGGGTTTTGATCAGTTCAGGCGGGGTTATCTTCACCTTCTCTTCTACACTGCTCCTTTCCTTCTTTTTCTAAACACTCTAGAGTAGTAATGAAGAATCTTTTAGAGCTTTCTATGATGTAAACAGCACACTGCAGCACATGTGCCATAGGTTTGCCACCTTCTGCTCTAGGGGATGGAGATTGTGTTCAGAGGACAGTAAGAATGAATATGCTTAGACAATGATGGGGTTTGAGGAAGAATGATAGTTCCAGGGGATATTGACTAGGACCAAAGCCATCAAAACCAAGCTTGACTCTGCATAGTTTTGCTAACAAAACCCTTATTCATTATTGAAATCTCCCCTTGTATCCTAAATGCACTAGGTCTTTCTAGTTTGAGTATGAAAAGTTTGAATTTGAAAAATTTGTTCTTTTCATTGGGGAGATAGCAGTGGAAAAATGTCGGCAGATGTTTCTGTTCTTTGTGACTGTTTAAGAAAGTTCACCCTCTAAGATTGTCTTAGTTGAGATTTCTGTGGCCTCAGAACCAGGGTTAAACAATTAAATTAGGCGTGGGTGTAGGTTGGTGGTAGAGACCTGGGGTTTAATTCCCAACACACACGCACATGCATGCATGTACATGTGGCATACACAAAACTATTAATAGAGTTCGTACAGCTCAAGAAAGAGATGGCCATCATGAGATCTCTAGTTGGCCTGATGCTTGGACTTAGCCACTGTCAGCTGACCAACTTTGGGGTTCTCCTCCTCCTTCCAGGTCCTGAGTAACTTGGTGATGGAGGAGCTCCTGCCAACCCTTCAGACAGATCTGCTGCCTAAAATGAAGGGCAAGAAAAATGACAGAAAGAGGGCCTGGTTTGGCGTAAGTGATGATACTGCTCTTCGGCTGTCCTTCTCCAAATGAACATTCCCTTCCCTATGCTTTTTAGAGCATTTGTTGTTGTTCCTGTTAAATAATTCCTTCTCTGGGTGGAGAAATGTCTATATCAAGTCTGCTTAATCTCACTTACATAAGAACTAATCCAAACAGATGTGAACTTTGAAAGAAAAACTCAAGTGTGTGTGAAGTTTTGTTTATGTTACGGGAATCTGTGATGAGTCCTCCCCCTCCCTCCCCTGGACTCTGTCAGGGACTTGTGCACAACCAGCCACGATTCACATGTGACTCCTATTGCAGCTCCTGGAAGAAGCCTACAACCTGGTTCAGCACCAAGTTTCAGAAGGATTAAGTGCATTGAAGGAGGAATGCAGAACCCTGACGAAGGGCCTGGAAGGAACAATTCGTTCAGACATGGATCAGATTGTGACTTCAAAGAACTTTTTAATTGGAAAGATCAAAGGTCAGTGGAGATAATCCATGCTCCTACTAATTAAAAAAGCTGTTTATTTAATGATCCACATATAGTTAGAATACAGTTGGCTCTCTGTATTTGTGGGTTCAACGAAGTGCAAACTGAGAATATTAAAAAAATTGTACTGAACACATTCAGATTTCTTATCCTGATTCCCTAAATTATACAGTGTAACAACTACTGTATTTACATAGCATTGACATTGTATTAGGTATTATAAGTAATCTAGAGATGACTTAAAGTATATGAAAGATACAGTTGCATGTGTATAGTTTATATGCAAAGCACTGTACCATGTTATATCAAGGACTTGAGTATCCTTGGATTTTGGTATCCTTGGAGGTGGGGTGGGGCCCTGGGGCCTAGAACCAGTTGTCCACAGATACTGAGGGAAGCCCATACATAGTTTCAAAGAAGAACTAAACTGAGGAAAGTAGGAGGAGATAACAGTTACAATAGAAGCATGCCATAGGTACTATCAAGAGCCTAGACCAGTGGTGGTGAACCTATGGCACGAGTGCTGCAGTGAGCTGTTTGTTATCATTGAAAGCTCTAAAAGGTTCTCCATCACTGATCTAGACCTTTCCATGGAAGCTTCATGCACACCAGGTGGAGCAAACTTTGCTTTATGCCTTCTGGTAGTACCTGTGCATTCTGTTGCCTGCTCTGCCCCCATTGTAGGACTTCTTCCAATGAAACTTTTTTTTTCTAGATTGGATATTGAACTCAGGGTCTTCACACTGAACTAAATCTTCAGCCTTTTATTTTTTATTATTTTTATTTTGAGATAGGGTCTTACTAAGTTGCCCAGGTTGGCTCAAACTTATGATCTTCTTACTTTAACCTCCCAGAGTCCTGGGATTACAGGTGTGCACCACCACACCCAGTTCATACTGAGTGATGAGAGATGATGCCTGCCTCCCTCTACAGTAAGCTCTGAAAGGCAGAGCCATGTTGCCCTGCTTTACTCAAGTTTGTATTCAGTCCCTAGGACTATGCCTGGCATGTAGAGACTCTCCGTGAATGGCTGGATTGTTGAATAATGGATTTTCCTTTGACAGAAAAGCCCATAATTTTGGCTTAGCATCAATATACCTAGAAACTCCATCTCCAACATTAACTACTTTTGTATACTTGGGGAGGCTTGGTCAAGTTCTGTTTGCCTTAGTGTCTTGCTCTAAAATCAGGAAGACTCACAAGAGTGTGGTTGGGAAATTGTGGCCTTAAGGCCAAATCCACCACCTGACTTTGTAAAAAATGTTTTGCTAGAACACAACCATGCTCATTCATTTACATATTGCCTATAGCTGCTTTTATGCTACAACATCAGAATAGAGAGGTTGGAACCTCAGTCTCAAACTTAATGAGTGCAAAGTAAAAAATATTTATGGTCTAGCTCTTGACCAAAAATCAAAGCAAAACAAATTTGCTTATTCCCACACAAGAGGCCTTAGGTGGCTTCAAAGGATCCTATAGGAGAGGTGCTATGGTTTCCCTTTCTGTTTAGGTTATTTCTATGCTAACCCAATAAGTGCAGTACACTTAATGTCACTTCAGAGGAAGAGCATGGAGCCTCCTCTGTGATTGTTTATTAACTATCTTTTTAGACAGTCAGTTCACAGTTTGTCTCTCATTCACTCAAGTAATAATGTTTACTAAGTGTCTTCTAAGCAAGGCGAGGGAGTATTAGCCACACACAGATCTACTCCTGTGCTCCCAGGCTTATAGTCCAGCAGGAGACTGTCAGCTTGGTGAATTAATTTCTGCAGTTCAGATCCTTTCGTACTGCAATCCAGCTTGCTCCAGGGCTCTTAAAACAGGTCCTATGGAGAGGAGATTAGAGGAATAACCACCCCAAGGGTGTGATGTGTGTGTCCATTCATGTGATCCCTTCTAAAGCCAGAAATAGATGAACTTCAGAGTGCTTTCTGTTTGTTGTTATCTAAGTCTTATCACTGCACGAGCACAACTGATCTAGAATCTACTCTATGTCAAAACACTCTGTAGAACTTAAAACCCCTGACACCAATTCCTGTGCCAAAATTCTGTTCTCTGGGCCCCAGCAGCGCCTAACTGTGGCCATTCTTGTGGCTGGAGTTAAGCCATTCTCTCTTGTTTAAATCTCTGTGGCTCCTAGGTATCCTCATACAATGGAAAAAGTTTCTGCCCTGGACTATTAGTGGTTTCCTGAAAGAAAACTTGAAAGGAATTAATGATCAAGTCTTTTCAACATGGAATATCAGCAACACATTTCAACTAAGTCTCTGGTTCACTACCTTTGAAACAAGGAAGGGAACTGAAGGGTGCATTGACAGTGTGCTTTGGCTTTCAAAAATACTTCGGGAGTATTAAGTAGTGATTACTTCATTTCCTCCCACGTGACTCTCAGAAGAAAGCCATTGGGCTTTATTAGTTCTGCTCCACAATGCATTCAGTAAGCATTTATCCTGCTTCTGTGGAGTATAAGGGCTATGAGGATTCAAAGAAGACAACATTATTTTGCAAGTAGAGGAGGATAGGAAGCATGTCACAGACACTGAGGCAGAGGAACACAGTGATAAATGCTGTATGAGAGATGGGAACCAAAAGCACAGTAGTTCCCACTCAGGATGCGGTTTCCTGTCAACTTCAGAACCTGTATGAGCACTGTCCAGGGAGGGTACTACTTCAGGTTCAGGTGATAGAAAGAAGGACAGTGCAGCACGTGCAGTAGGAGCTAACAGGGTTCCTGAGATGCCTCCAGAGCACCACATTCATTCTAAGCACTTTGAAAATAGTAAACTCATTTCATTCTTCCTGTAACCCCAAGAAGTAATTACTCTTATGGTCTCCGTTTTCCAGATAAGAATACTGAGGCAGACGTTAAGGAACTTGCCTGAGGTTTCAAAACTTATGTGTGACAGAGTCAGGTTCAGTCTTGTCGGCCCCAGCTTTTTAGGCAGCATCCATCTGCTCACTGCTTTCAACAGCTGCCACCACTTATGGAAGGCTCATGGATGAATGTGTCACAACACTATATTCATCACAACAGCATCTCTGTGAGCTTGAGAACAGCAGAGAATACACATGAGGGACACGAGATCTATTCAGCCCATAAGGAAACACCTGCAGACTGCAGTTCAGGAAGCTGGTGCTGGTTCCAGGACATTATTGCTGTCCCAATGGGTGACACTGGAAGTAGGCCTGAGGTCTTGAGTAGAGCGTTTCCAAGCAGAGGTGGAGGAAAAGAGTCCTGGGTAAAAGAACCTGAATGAAGGTGCAGAGAGGGGGCGGAGCACCCTGTGGTAAACAGAGGCAGGGGAGAACAGGGAGAGAGGAACCTTCCCTTGCCTGCCAAGTCCTCTGTGCTGATCTCTGCCCACTCTACAAGTAAAGTTGGCCAGCTCCGCTCAATCATCACTGTTTGTTGCCAGTGTTCAGGATTATTCTGAAATTTTAATTAGATGTTTTTCAAGTGGTTCCTGTACCAAAGTTAATTAATAATTATTCTCCTGGCAAGCAGCTTTGCATTTTGCTATCAAGCAAGTCATTTTTACAAGAGTCAAAGATTGCTTTATATTTGGTTAAAAGGATTTTTTTCCTAATAATTCTATGACCTGTTTGATATTTTCCACCCTGAATATATATGGTGTTGGTTATCTCGGATTCAGATTCTCAGAATCAGAAGAAGCAGTAATCTGATCCTCCATAACTCTGACATATTTCTGCAAACCAAAATAAGAGTGTGGCCATTCATCTCACTGTAAGCAAGTTATTTTCTAGTACGAACTTAAAAATACACTTGTCGTCCTGCTTTTGAAAATGAGAATGCGACTTTGGTCAAGTTATCTAACATCTCCATCCTTCTTTCGTTCCCATCTGTAAAGTAGAAGGGTTGGACATCCAGTCAACTTGTGCATCTCTTCTCAGTTCTGTGGGACTGTGACTCAGCTTGGCCCCTTCTACTGCATCAGTGCTTCAGAGCCCGGCTGGTCAGGAGAATCCTCCTGCTCTGAAAGCCAAGCTGATTCCCTGTCCTACCGACTCACTGGGCAGGGTCTTTACTACACTCTTCAATAAATCGAAGGGTGGTGCTTCACTCTGGAGAATGGAAATTATGGTGACCTTTTTTTCATCTTTCTTTATAAATTTTCTGTGCTCTGTACATTTTTGTCACTAAGCCTATCATCCTCATGAGAAAAAAAAAATCTTGTTTTGTTTTAACTGGGGATGAGGTGATGAGCTGAATGGAATTTGGTTTCATTTTCCTCCCAAGAAAAGATTTACTTGCATTTTTTTAAAGTCTCTTAGGGGAGATGGTATTATATTGACCCATTAGCTCATAGAGAAATTAATTCTAACATAATATCTTGTGTTTCTAGAAGACAAATTGCATTTATATGATGATGGTGAATAGTGGATAGGTGTCTTAGCTGTCGAATAGCTCGAGGGGGCTCTCCTCAGCCTGGCCTGGCTCCGGTGCCTCCGAGTGCAGTTTTGCTCCATATCACTTTGTTTCCTTATCTCAGCAATGGTGGCCCAGCCAGCAGAGAAAACCTGTGGGGAAAGTGTGCAACCATTCCTGGCGTCCACTCTGGAAGAGCTCATGGGGCCCGTGAGCTCAGGATTCAGTGAAGTACGCTCACTTTTTGAAAAAGAAGTGGATGAACTCAGCCAGAGCTTTCAGACCACCAAGGACAGCACCCAGCTAAAGGAGGTGGGATTGAAAGCTGAGGAGCTGATGCAGAGGGGCTTCTTGGACTGTCTTTTCCATGGTGCTCGCCCTGGCTCCCTCCATCCCTCCCTCCCTTCTTTCCTTTCTCAGAGAAGAGGGAAGAGGCCCTTCCCTCTGTCCCTTTTCCCTTCTCTCCTACCTTCCTTCCTTCTCTCTGCTGTTCCATCCATCCAACTACCCTATTCATTCACCCATCCATCCACTTAATTTTCTTTATTAATGGTTTTCAAATTTTAAAAATAAAAAGTTTGTGCGAGTGAAGCAATACACTCAGTATGATATATATATATATATATGCACAATCATCACCGATACCCTTTAGTTCTAGTCCATCCCCAACTCAAATCTAGTGAATCCGACATTCGGGGCGGGGGCCTTGGAGTATGTTTTAACAAGACCTCTAAAGGATTTGGAGTGCCCTCAAGTTTGAGAACCACTGGCATAAGATGTTATAACTTGGCAGCTTGGTTTTTTGACACATTAATATGACCGTCCCTGCAAAGCCAGCAGATAACACCTTCCTTCTTTCCCTCCTCCCCCTGCCTTCCTTCCTGATATCACTAAAAATGAATTTTTTCTTTTAATCAGTACATAATAATTGTGTACTTTTTTGGGACATCATGTGGTAATCCAGTGGGTAATGACCAGATTGAACAAATAAACATTTTAAATTCCTTAAACACCATTTCTTTGTGATAAATCTTCAAGCTCTTCTAGTTCTTTATAAAAATGTAATAGTTGTAAACTATAGTCACCTTTTTATGCTATGCCTTTATTTCTTTTTTTTAAATTTTACTTTATT